GGAACTCGAAGGCCTGCAGGGCCTCGTAGTCCAGCGCCCTCAGGGCGAACAGGTGTCCGTTGTCAGCGTTGATGGAGACCAGGGAGGTGAGGGGCAGGTGCGGGTCCTGAGGTGGCAGCAGGGAGTAGGTGACTTGGGCGTTGGTGCCTGAGTCTCTGTCTGTGGCGCTGATGGTGCCTATGTGCAGGGCGGGGCTGTTGTTTTCGCGGACGAACAAGGTATAGGAGGTTTGGGTGAAAGTGGGGGCGTTGTCATTGATGTCTGAGACCAGCACTGTTATGTTGACCTGTGTTTTCAGCCTCGGTGTCCCCAAGTCAGAGATGGTGATGGTGATGTTATATTCAGCTCTGGTCTCTCTGTCCAGTGGCCTCTCTGTCAGTAGGGTGTAAAAGTTTTCCACAGAAGATTTCAGGAAGAAAGGTAAATCCTCCTGAATAGAACAACTTATTTTGCCATTTTCTTCGGAATCAAGATCTGAAACACTGAAAACTGCAACCACACTTTCAGGCAAATTCTCAGATACTGAACTGGTAAATGCAGACATGGTAACCTCTGGGGCATGGTCGTTCACATCCATGACTTGAACTAGAACAGTGCATTTTCCTGAAAAGCTTCCAGCATCTCTTGCCTCAATGTTGATTTCATAGGATTGAATTGTTTCAAAGTCAAGTTGTTTTTTTAGCTGAATTTCTCCAGTCAAGGGATTGATCCTAAAGGTTTTGTTAATCTCCTCTGAAGCTTGGAATAGCAAATAGGAAATTTCTCCATTGATTCCTATGTCTATATCTGTAGCAGAGACAGTGACGACAGGGAATCCTATTGGACTGTCTTCAGGAATCTGCACCCTATAGAAAGGCTGCTCAAATTCAGGGGCATTATCATTAAAATCTACTACTTCGATGTAGACCTGAGCGGTGCCAGACCGTGGTGGAGAGCCACCATCTAGTGCTGTGAGGGTTAACTTGAGCTCAGGTTCCTCCTCCCGATCCAAAGCTTTGTCCAGCACCAGCTCAGGATATTTCCTGCCATCGCTGCGTTTCTGGGTAAGGACACGAAAATAGGAGTTGGGACCGATAATATAGTTCTCAATATTATTCTGGCCTACGTCCATGTCCTGAGCATTCTTCAGAGGAAATGTAGTCCCAGGAGAACTGCTCTCTGACACTTGTAGCAACATTTCTTTGTCCAGGAATACTGGGGAGTGGTCATTTATGTCTATTACTTGTAGCTCAGCTTGAAAAAATTCTAAGGGACTCTCTAGCAACACCTGGAAACGTAGCACACAGGGCTCTGTGTGACGGCACAGTTCCTCGCGGTCCAGTTTCTCATTTAGTAACAAATCTCCTGTCTCCTGATCAAGCTGCAAATGTAGTTTGTTGCCTTTGGAAACAACTCTAACCCCCCGCCTAGAAAGTTCCCTCTGCTCCAGACCTAGGTCCTTTGCTAAATTGGTTACAAAGGAACTGCCCTCAGTTTCCTCCAATACGGAATAGCGTTTGGGTTCTGCCGCGCCCGCCAGAGAAAAGACCAAAAGGAGAAAGGAAAAAACGACTTGCCTTTGTCTGCAAATGAACTTCCCGCTGGCCTCCATTGTCTGGTACAGCCTCCTTTATAAAGGTGGTTCTGCAGAACTGTAAAGTCCACAGTGCCTGACACCGTGGTTATTCCGTCAGTACCTCGGAAATATTCCAGCCAGGAGTCCTTTTCGGAGGACCCAGTCCGTCTACCTTTGGCATCCAAACTTCCGGTGGACTTGCAGTCTCTGATGGTAAAACTTGCGGGTTTAATGGAGCTGCAGTTGTGTTCCGGTTTGTACCTTCTTATCCTGCAGCGCCACCACGCGTCCTCACAGGATCTCACATTTTGTAGGAAGAAAATGGATGCAGTATTCCCAACTCTGCCTGTATGTACCACGCAGCAGTGTAAAGTTATGACACTGCCTCTACTATTGCTAGACCTTATTGGACAGACAACTGCCTGAAGGCCTAAAAGAGGCCTTAGTAGGGACTCTTTCAATGATGCTAATGAAGTTTAGGGCAAAAAGGAAATATTTAGGTAACAATCTGGCTGGGAAAAAAGATACATTCAGTAAATCAGAACATGTATAAGATTGGAGCAACACAGGAAACTTTTAGAATTATATACGTTTTTTTGCCATGAATTATGGATAAATTATTTAACTGCTTTTTCTGCCTTAGTTTTCTTATCTGCAAAGTGAAGATCATAATAGTACCTACTACATAGGGCTGTTGTGAATTCTTCCCCTGACAGATAAAGAAACTGATGCAGAGAGAGATTAACCTTATAAATAAACTCTATATAGTATGTAGCAATTTTATCCCACCAGGTAGCTGAATCTACATGAATCCATTTCAGTGACAATAAAAACACCTCAATATTCACTTGGTAGGAGAATACATGAGCAGAACTATCTCCTAAGTTATGTCAAAAAATGAAGGTAACTGAACAAAGAAAGGCTGGAGAGCTTGTCTAAATGGAGGCATAGTCTTTGACAGCAGTGGTGATTCTTTATCTTGGAAGGATGTCTTTAGTTTTTGTTACTGCCATTCTTTTCTCTCAGCATCATTTTAAAACCTTTTATTTTGAAAAGTTTCAAAGCTTTAAAAAAATTATGATGAACCCCATGTATTCATCATTAGCTTCAATAATTACCAATATTTTGTCATAATTTTTATCCTTCTAACATTTTAATATCCCAGGCATACTGAATTTTTACCCACACATACTGCCTTACATTTCTAACTGTTTATCCCTTTATCATACCTAAACATTAAGTTAGCATTCTTTAATGTTCATCTCTATTCTAATTCCTCCAAATTGTTCAAAGTCATTGTTGTTGTTTGAATCAAGATCTAAACAAGATCCACCACACATTGCATTTAGTTGGTAGGTCTCTTAAGATCTTTCTTTTTGTGAACTTCCCTCCTCCCATTTTCATGCCATTTGTTGGAAAAACTGGATTTTTTATCATGAAACTATGAAAACAATTTAAGATTTTACTGCTGTGAGTTTTTGTCCTTCGACTATATTCCATTAGTGATATACAGTAGAACTATTATTTTTGGAGTTGCTAGCCCTGGTTTATAATATCTCAGAACACAATCATGAAAAAAATATCTGGGGCATTTTAAAAGAAAAATCAGTTACAGATTATTACAACAAAGAAAAATCCTTAGCTCCCCAGAATTTCTAAAATTTAACAATCACTTATACTTCTGTTTGCTATTACACACTTAAAACTGTTCTTTTTCATACATTTCCAAGATTCAGCAAAGTAGTATAATGAGTGGGAAACTTTAAAAAGCAAACTTTCAAATTAAATCAGGAAAATGCATTAAAATGTATGTATGAATGATGGTGAAAAAATAAATGCAAGGTGAGGAAAATAATAAAAAATGAAGCAACTAAAGGATATAATATTTCTATTCAGGATTCTTAATCTTTTCTATGAAATGAAAGATTTGTGTTTGGATAATAAGGATAAAATACACTTTGATCTTTCTCTTTTTTTCCACTGGAAATTCGATTAGTTCAGAGCATTAAAGTTGAACAATTGACCCTGAAAAAGCGGGATTATACTTTGACAAGAAAATAAAACCAGAGACCAATATGTGTATTACTTCTAAATGCAGAAAAGATCAAAAAGGTATGAATATGAGAAAAATTTATTCTTAATTAGGCAGAAACTTGCCAGGTGATAACTAATGCCAGAAAATGGTATAACACCAGAGCAAGGTCATTGACCCAGAATCAGACAGATCTTAGAGAGGTGCTCAGATCTGCTACTTATCAGGTGGTGACCTTAAAAATTTATTGAATCTTTATGAACATCCATTTGCTTATCTCCAAAATATCTCACCTTGTAGGTTTCTTCTGAGATTAACAGTGTTTAACATAATTCATGATGCATAGAAAGTGCTTTTTAAACAAAAAATCCTGAAAACATACATCTATGCTTCTTAAATGTACCATACTTGTACAGCATTCTAATCAACTCAAAAAATGGAAGTAGTAAAGATTGAAGACAATAGGAAACAATTTAAAACATTCACCACTTACGAGACTGCACAATAAACGTAATTATTTGACATAAACCACGATGTAGATACATTTCATGCGCGGTAGAGGGTTCCTGGACGTAAGTCTGGGTACATCCCTATGTAAAGAAACTTTGACTTTAAGAGTATATACTTGAAATAATGTGAAAACACTCTTTTATGGGTATCTCAGGATATTTCTAGTTAGATACAGACGCAAGACTTATTTCTCAGAAGCGCATATTGTTTCGAAATGAAGGGTTTTCTTCCACTTCTTTCCTTGTGCTCTGGGGTAAGAGGTTGGGGATAATTGGCTTCAGGAACTTGAACTCGCTGGTCCCTGAGCCTCCCGTCAAACACACCTCATACTGGTAGCTCTGGGACAGAGTTCCTGTACCACTAACGTCCACTAGGTGGCCAGGAAAGTGGCC